ATACACGTAAATATTTTCAGACAAAATCCTTGTTCATAAGAAATAATATGACCTGAGTGGTCAGAAAGACATATTTGTCCCAACTGTATACTTATTCACGTAAATACAATTCTGTTCACTCCTTTACGAACAAGTTTGTTTACACGTTTTGTATATTTTTATCGACTGTCGGTAATGGCGGAATGGTCGGTACACATGAGAAAACGACAGTGCATATTTCCATTACATTTAGGACGTTCATGAAAAGAAAATATGAAAAGCAAACCTATAGAAAGAATGCTTTGATAATGAACACCATTTTGGTATAAATTATGGTCGTTGAAAAGAAGGATATGAACCACAATTGTAAAATATGTGACATACGCAAGAACAGAACGAAACCAAGTTTACATGATTGCTGTGCGTCATTTTATTCCAATGAGTTTGCCTTGTCTGGCCACTAATTTCGACTCCGTACACTTATCAATCAGCATAGAATATAATGATTTGTCACACACGATTGATCAAACTTAACGATTATGTGTAGACATATTCACATCAGTTGACATTTTACCGAAAATTCAATTTTAAAAAAATGTCGTCATGAAATGAAAATTGAACTCGACGCCATTTTTAACAATATTGTGCCCAGACCGGTTCCGCATGTGGTACATCGGCTCCAGATTCTTTGGAATATATGAGAGGTACATCAATATTACACCTACTGGCTACAAAAGTTTCACTTATAGTCTTATATGAACTTTACCTTTTCGTGTTTACGTTTACGGCTGATGAAAACCGTGTGTGTTAGCATGCCTATGTAAGTTTTCGATTTGTTTTTCCTTTCACTGTAAAAATGGCTATGATTGGGTTGCTGAAATAGTACTTTCCGTGTGTCTAATGTTCATGTAGCCAACCGTAAAGTATATATATTGTGAAATTATTTCATGTTCCAATATAAATTCCACATGAGAAAATATTATAAGAATATTATCCCGCTGTTGAAAACTTGTCGTCTAGACAGGTGCGCGTGGAACGACCTCTCTTGTTGTGACGTAAACAAACAGCTGATCACCACCAGAATGTCAATAAACTCATATTGCAACAACTTTTAGACTCACCGAAAGGCAATTTAAAAATCTATTATGTCGTATAATTTCGTAACGTTGTGTGAAGAAATAAGAACGTTGTTACACTTTTTAAACAATGTATACGTTTTTGTAACCGCGACGTCATCACAGTGCGGCACTGCGCGGTTTGCAGGCTGACTGACGTCCAGGCACCATGAGGGTTAATACAGATGGAATATATATTTGTATGGCTATTTGTGTGTGGAGATATTAACAGGGATTAAATTAAGTCTCCTTGTTATATAATTCAATGTTAATGATTTGAAATAGTATGCTGTTTATAGCAGAGCCGTTAGTGATGCCATTTGATTGTGACGTCATGGTAACAATGACGTCACAATGGTCTGCAAAGCATCGTGACGCAATTTCATTGAAGCAATATCTACAATGTAGATATCGCTTGATCTCAGCCAAGCCATAGCTTCTTGGGAAGCAAGTTTTGGTTGATAAATGTTATCATGCGTTGAGACTCGTGAATTGATCAACCTGCTGTCAATGTGGGTGTCGTGATATAACTGGTATAGTGTTCAGTGAATCGTGTAAACATCAGCTCGTTCATATCTCAAGTTGTCTCGGTGCGTAGGTGGGTGTTTTAGCACTAGCCGGTTGTCGCGTAGCGTTAAGTTCTCGAGAAACAAGACATTCCCCACGCATCGTGTTAGTGCTGAGTGGCGTGTGTATGTTTCAAGTGTACATGACCTGTCACTCAACAAAACACGGAAGTGATGTGTTCTTGCGAGATGACTTACCAACAGTAACTAAGGAACAATGATATAGCTCAGCGAGAAGACGGGAACTATTGACGGTGACACAACGATGTTTGCTATATTTTGTATAATTCTTTTTTTTTTTTAAATTTCTTTATTTAATAGAGGAAATATAATATCAATTTAAAGGGATGCTTTTGAGGACAAACAGACCAGAACGTTATTATACATTTCTCCTGCGATCTTTATATACTCACGATTGGTATATACTCAGGAAGGTACTATGAACATATTTTAGCTGCTTAGTGATAATTAATATGACCATTGCTGACATGATGTGACGGAATCACTGTATTTAGTCCAATCGACCATAAAAGATCTTGTTTTAAAAAAACCCATCAAACATACAAATATTTAATATATATTTCAACATCAAAGATATATAAACTGCTGGGCGAAAAAAAGTACAGACCCGTGTTTGATGGTAGCTAAAAATGAAACAAATAAAAACATGGTTATTCGGTGGTGGTGATCACGGCTATCATAATATTGATCTGGACCTTAAGTGTACAATGTTACAGTGACTGCTTCAGTAACATTTCGTTAACGTTTGAAATTCTGGTCAAATCCGATTTTTAAGTATATACATTCTTTTTCTCCGGCATTAGATATAATAAAGTAGAAATAACAGTCCTCTGGGGTAGCATAGGTCTTCAACAACCATTCTTGTCGTGAAAGGCGACTATGCTTGTCGTAGGAGGCGACTAACGGGATCGGGTGATCAGGCTCGCTGACTTGGTTGAAGCATGTCATCGTATTCCAAATGCGTGGATCGATGCTCATGATGTCAATCACTGGATTGTCTGGTCCAGACTCGATTATTTACAGATGCCTCGACATAGAGGGAAAGTTGACTATTGGAAAGTTGAAGTCATCCTTCTTGACATACAAACTTGTGGATATTTTTTGTCACGTGAATTTTGTAAACATAGATAAAAAATGAAAAATATGAGGGGGTTTCTCTAGTCTCTAATATTCCTAGTTTGGCTGTTTGATTAATCAGCGCTATTATATCATCGATATGCCTGAAGCTTAGGTAAACCATCTTGGCCAAATTCCCTTGTTTCTGCCAATCCAATCAGACATTCTGACTTTTATGTATAAAGAAACAAATCAGCAAGAATGGGAGCGCAACTGTGCCCATGTGAATCCCCATCTTCCTGAGAGAGTTAACTGACTTTAAAAGTCCAGAGTAGAAACTGGACTTTTATAGTCAGTTAACTCACTTGCCTCGGGAAGATGGTGAATCCCTACATCATAGGCTGACATTATATGACTGAAAAAACAGTTCAAAACGGCGTTAAACTCAACTCACTCACTCACTCACTCAAATGACTCGCTTGAATCGCTTCTACACATGTCTGCTTGAGCAAAATTTTTCAAGAATCGGTCGTAATTTTCAAAAAGTCTCATATCGGGTATCTGCCATTGGTAGACTACTAAGGATAACCCTATCATGTATTGAATCTTTGTTCAAAGTCATCACCGGAACATTACGAATTTCGCAAGAACCAACACTCCTCTTATACGACGTAACGAGGAATGTGTTTCTCACATTATTTCTTAGCAACACGAACAATAGGCAAACAGTGAAATCATTACAACCCATATGAAGCGCGCATTGTTGGTCGGGGTGTATGGTATCAACAACACAGTGTTTCGCAAGTGATTTCGTACAGGTGACAGGGTTTGGTCTGCGTTTCACAACTCATCACGGTTTATTAGCTCCTGATTATAAGTACGCAAACAAGCCATTTACCGCGCTATGTTGCTCCACCCCTCCCGGGGTATGCGGGGGTGACCACTCGTGGGGGAGGGGCTGACGAACGTTTGCTGTACGTGTTTAAACTGGAAAGATAGGCTTGTTGTTCTCAGATGACATGCGGTTTTTGTGTGGGTGTTGGAGTGACGTTATTATCAAACTTACAACTCGTATTCCTGAGGAGTAAACCTGTTTCCTATAGTTATAGGACGTCGTTTCTTGAGACCAGTTGTCTGTTGGCGTAGTCAGTCAGGTCTGGACCAAGGCCTTCTATTATTAACTTATTCACGAATCAAGAGTTATTATGTTCACGGAAACACGATTAACTTGCCACTCTATTCACGGAAACACAATTAAATTGCCACAATATTCACGGAAACACTATTAAATTGACACTATGTTCAGGGAAACACTATTAGATTGCCACTATGTTCGGGGAAACACTATCAAATTTCCACTGTGTTCAGGGAAACATTATTAAATTGCCACTATGTTCACGGAAACACTATTAAATTGCCACTATGTTCACGGAAACACTATAAAATTGCCACTATGTTCACGGAAACACTTTTAAATTGCCACTATTTATATGGAATATAGGTATTCACGATCTTCCTCTGACAACCGTAGATCTTGCACGAATGCATTTGCTTGTCCTTTTATGAACAAACAAATGTCATTTTATTCACAGAAACACGACATGTTAATGTTTTATTCGCTTTATGGAGGAGTGCTAACTTTTGATCACATGCTTCTTTAAAATTAAATTGCGTCTGGGAATACTGAGAAGTACTTGCCTTGAACTATCGACAGGATTTAAGTAGTAGCATTGTGCGTAATAGCAACCTTTTCCCTACCACAGATATACCAGTGTGTCCCCTGTTACATAGAGGCTATCGATCAGACAGTTTTGAGGTCAATATACAGATCTTACAAACGTCTCATGGAAGTCTTTTCTCCAACCAGACTACCTACACACGTCCTCACATGACTCGTGTGTTGCTTTAACTAGTATAATATTCTCAGAGAACTGCACAGTTTTGCGTCAGACATACGGCTCAATGAACAAACACACTAGTTTAAGACTTTATGTGATCTTCCTGTCAGCACATATACACGCAATGGTTACTTATAGGCATATAATCAACCGCGAAAACCTCGGAGAGAGAGAGTGAGGTAGACAGAAAAGGAGAGAAAGAGAGATGGAGAGAGGTAGAGGGAGTGAAGGAGAGGGCGAGAGTTGGAGAGGGGAGAGAGAAGAGGAGAGAGAAGAGGAGAGAGAAAGAGAGAGAGGGAGGGAGATAGAGAGGATGGGAGAGAGAGGCAGAGGGAGTGAAGGAGAGGGCGAGAGTGGGAGAGACAATGAATGAGAGGGGGAGGGGAGAGAGAAGAGGAGAGAGAGGGAGGAGACAGAGAGGATGGGAGAGAGAGGCAGAGGGAGTGAAGGAGAGGGCGAGACTGGAAGAGAGAGGGAGGGGAGAGAGAGGCAGAGGGAGTGAAGGAGAGGGCGAGAGTGGGGGAGGGGAGAGAGAAGAGGAGAGAGAAGAGGAGAGAGAAAGAGAGAGAGGGAGGGAGATAGAGAGGATGGGAGAGAGAGGCAGAGGGAGTGAAGGAGAGGGCGAGAGTGGGAGAGGGGAGAGAGAAGAGGAGAGAGAGAGGGAGGGAGATAGAGAGGATGGGAGAGAGAGGCAGAGGGAGTGAAGGAGAGGGCGAGAGTGGGAGAGGGGAGAGAGAAGAGGAGAGAGAGAGGGAGGGAGATAGAGAGGATGGGAGAGAGAGGCAGAGGGAGTGAAGGAGAGGGCGAGAGTGAGAGAGACAATGAATGAGAGGGGGAGGGGAGAGAGAAGAGGAGAGAGAGGGAGGAGACAGAGAGGATGGGAGAGAGAGGCAGAGGGAGTGAAGGAGAGGGCGAGACTGGAAGAGAGAGGGAGGGGAGAGAGAGAAGAGGAGATTGACACATAGAGATAAAGAAAAAGGGTGCGGTGAAGAATTGTTGTTTTTCTTGTCAGTTTAAAACATATGTACTAACTATCATAATGCAAAAAATGTTCTCACTATGCCTTTAACGTTTAAACCATAATGTTCCCAAAGCATTGTTTACGTTCCGAATGATTAAAGCTTCAGTAGGCTCTCTATGTACGTAACATTTAAGGTCAATTAATCAAGAGATATTACCCTGGAGCTGTATACAGCTGATATAGACCACGATAACACTGTGGGTTTCATTACCCCGGGACCGCGGGGAGGTCACCTGAACCTTAAGCCGGGGTTTGTGGGGCAGATCGAGTTGAGAGTAATTGATTCGTTGAGGCGGTTAGTAGATATTGATGTAGGTGAAAAACCGTCTGGAAAGTTTAAAGATAAGGTACCGGTTTTCTTCTCTAGGTCAACACCTACAGTAATATTACAGCGAATAAAATGTAATGGCATGTCAGCAATACAAAACATTATTAAGAATTTGTTTGTTTATAAACTATGCTAACTTGCAACAGCTGTTTAAAATGTCATATATAGTGGAGTGAACGACTGATAGATTACCGTTATTAGAAAAAGGTTACAAATTGGGTGACTAATACAACGTCCAATACATATCGTCTTCCTTAAAAAACTGTTTCTACGGATCCAAGGTTACGAGGACATTGGATCGGGTGAGGTGTGAGTTTTTGCTCAAGTCCTCAATGCAGCTAGGATCTTTATATATCCCTTAAGTAAGAATGACTAAGCTTGGGGACCGTCCATTTCACGCGGGTTTGGGGAGTGGTGATAGCTTGAACAAACATTTAATTGTTCCCCCCACTCAGAATATTAAATGTTAGGGCCTCATTGTGGTGACACACGCCGTGCGTCGGTCTCTCAGACAAGCCAGGAATCACAAATCGTGGATTCGAATCCCACATTTACCCTGATAACGCACCCTTGTCACGTCTGAACCTTACCCTCGTGGGTTTCACAAAGGTTGTCAGCATCAACGATCAGGATTTACAGTGTTTTCCCCCAACATTAAGTGACACCCTGCGAAAAGCCCCAACTGATGTAAATGCGGCTTTAAATCCAACTCCAAGTTTGTTTCAGTATTTTGTGTTGACTCTCCTTATACTAATTGATGTTTCCCCGAACATAAATACCTCATCATTAAACTCATAAAGGGACAGCATTCCGTTTAGGTTTCTTACTCCCCTGCAAGTACTGTTATCCTGTTTTCTTGGCCCCTTCATATTAACGCCTTAAACCGTTCTGAAGTCAGAATGCGTCAAACTACTTTAGGTCGGTGTTCCAAACAACTGTTGATAACGATACTTAAACCTTACTGTATGGTGGAGTATTACAAACAAATCTCAGCGGTACAACAGCCGTGTGTTTATATTTATTATGGCATTATGACGCTCAGATCCCTACTTAGAACCGCTGGACTTAGGACCATCGCACAAGAAGGTTCCTCCCACGAGGACAGTGCTCGGGAGAGATATTAACCGTTAGTTGTCCTTCTTCGTCTTCAGATCTCTACATAGAACTGGTTGTAGGACCGTCTAGTGGGACGAGTACTCCCGCTAGGGCAGAACTCGGGAGGGATATTAACTGTTAGCTGCCCTACAACGCCTTCAGATCTCTACATAGAACTGGTTGTAGGACCGTCCAACAGGACGAGTACTCCCGCTAAGGCAGAATACAAGAGAGATATTAACCGTTAGTTGTCCTTCTACGTCTTCCGATCCATACACAGAACTGGTTGTAGGTTAGCTGTTCCTAGTGGTCCTCGGATAGAACCCAGGGTCTTCTAGAACCTTCCCATGACTACATCCTGTAGATGTTCCCTCTCGATAGGCACTGACATGTTGACCCGTTGTTCTTTGAGCAAGGGTTCTATTAGCAATGTTTTATATGACGCCTTGCCACTGAAAGGTGATGTAAATACCACGCTGTCGCTCCTGATCAAGAGGTGTCTGTGGTCAGCTACTGTAACGGCCCTTCACATGTAACGATCCTCTTATCCAACCACAGGTTTTGATTTTTTATAAACTGAAGCAGGAATAAGTGACTATCCTTTTAGAACTGGATTACGTCAGAAACCAACGTCCAGTCGAAACGGTTCAAACGGTTCAACGTTCAAATGGTTGCAAATTCATTTCTTACCCAAGTCTTCTTTGAACCAGTTTATTTTTATACAAAATTACCCAGCCACAGACTACTGTTTTACAAACTGAAGCAGGAATGAGCATGGTTCAATAGACATAATAAAATTTAACAACAGTTATTTCAATTTCCAATAACATATAAACAAACTCGATATACTTTCGTTTATAACACTGTAATGTTGTTCTGTCCGTAACCATGTATGCGAGATACACTGTACAGATGTGTCCGAGTGACGTCACAAAGATCGAAGTCCGGTAGATGTCTACAGGTATCCAGACAACCATTAGCCGATACTCGAATGCAGATGAATGAGGTTATGCTAATCTGCTGATCACTCTATTGGTATTTCTACGTGTCATCGTCATCAGGTCTGCGATAATGCTGAGTCATAGTGATCTGGGGGATACGGTGACATGCAAGCAAAATACAAATCTATGTTCAACTGAAAAGAACAGCTGGCGTCTAAATAACCACAGGCTAATATCCGTAGGCAAATGGGATGAATATGTATGCGTTTGTAGTTTAACACGGTGACCTCATTCAGATTTATTCCAGCATTATGACCATGACGGGCTGTAAATAATCGACCAGACATTTCAGTGATTGGTATGAACAACGATCCACGCAATCAACCAGGCCGCCGAGCCTGACCACCCGATCCAATACCAGCATGCGCTGCTGGGAACCTATTCTAACTCAGGATACCCACGAAGTTACATTGATCAAATACTATTAAAAACGAATTGTTTCATTATCACACCAATATTTATAAATTCATAATGATATACAATAGGTGCATTGTTAATATCATCAAACAGGTATAACGTAAGATTTGCGGATCCAAGAAAGGTCGGAAATTGAATCAGGTGAGTTGTGACTTGCCCTTGTAAGTTTAACCCTCGCCAAGTGCTTGCCCATAGCTGGATGGCATAAACCACGACCCTAAAGTAGTAGATGAAAAAGAAAATCACTTCTACAAACATTTGATATTTTAAAATGTCTTACAGTTGCATTGCGCCCCGGAATGGTGAATTGGATCACGATTGAGTGTATGTTTGTTTTGAACAACATCATGATTTACTCTGTTTGCTTCAATCAAAACAGATTCGCTGTGCAGAGTTGCGTTCCTTGGGCACGCCAGAAACCTATGATTGTGGGTTCGAATCCCGGTTCGCCCCGATAATGTTTCTAGGTTTGTCAGCACCATACCCGTGCTCGTGGGTTTCACCGAAGTGGTAAACGTCTAAGACCTGCATCACTTCGGGCTTTCCTCCCACATTAAGCTGACACGCCGCGATATGACTGGAATTCTGTTAAAAGCGGCGTTAAACCCAACTCACTCACTCACTCAATCAAAAAATACAGACATAAAGGCACCGACAATTCTGTAGGAACAGAACGCGTTGCAGGACAATATTACATGCTCTCTCTATAAGTTCAAACCAGTTTAACAGTTCCTTAACCCGGAAGGGTTTACTTATTTACCAGATTCTTTTTAAAAAATTTAACTTGTGATTTAAAGTGCTCCTTGAACTGACTCGCCACGGATTTGTTCCGGTGATTTATGGAAAAGATTACGTGCACAACCGTCCAGCCTAGGTATCCGGACTGGTCTTTTGTGTCATTCATCACCCGGCCAGTGCTATTTACACGTGTATAATTCACTCAACCTTCCACTTCACGACAGTTAGTTATTTGTACAGCATCAATCTCAAGTTTAGTTTCTGTATTGTTTGGTTTGGGGTTTACTTTTTGGAGTGTCAGGCAACGCGTTATGCACTCGATGTCCATTGAAACATTGTAATCCTCGTGTTTTACTTCCTGGTTTTGTAAGTATACGAGTCGATGAATAAGCACGACCTATTGTGGAACAATGATCTCTTATGTTCAATGGTGTATTGTAAGTAGTAACTACAGGTAAGTAGAGAGGTACGTCAATGACGGTTTATACCACTAAAGCAATAGTTATAAAACACTTACGGCGACATATACTGAGGGCCAAAAGTAATTTCACCACTCCACAAAGGAAATTGCAAAAAAATATAAACAAAAGTTCAAAATAAATAAATGCAAAACACATCATCCAAACACAACAATGCACTATGCAGAAAGTGATAAACGTTCGCGGCTGCTTTTTTAGAAAATGCGAAAAAGTGGAAAACACGTTTCACTTGGGCAGCCGAACCTGCACGTTCAATGAGGGTATATAAATTATACGGACGGCATGTCAGACACCCACACTGATAAAAAACAACAACACCGACATGCCACGACTGACGGCCAAAAAACGCGAGCGGGCTCTGGGTATGATGCAGATGGGAGCCACCCATTCCCATATTGTTAGAACTTTTGGTTGACCCCGTGTTGCTGTAACGAATCTAATGCAACGTTACAGAAAGACCGGGCAGACATCAGACAGGCCAGGAACAGGCAGACCCAGGGTAACTACGCCCAATGAAGACCGGTATTTGCGTACTTTGCATGTCCGGAATCGATTCCTGAAAATGACGTCATCAGCGACCATGGCGAGATGGGCCTGGACTGTATACGTCGTTGGCAGCGACTTG